AACTAACCTATAAGTACTGCCACTACTACACCAACAACTACGACCACTACTACATCAACAACTACTACCACTACTACACTAACAGCTACTATCACTGCTACACCAATAAGTACTACCACTACTACACCAACATCTACCACCATTACTACATCAACAACTACTACCACTACTACACAACAACTACACCACTACTACCACAACTACACTACCAACAACTACCACACCACCAACAACAACTACACTACTACACCACTACTACTACATCAACAACTACTACACTACTACAACAACTACACTACTACTACCACACTACACAACAACTACTACCACTACTACATCAACAACTACCACCACTACTACATCACCACAACTACTACCACAACTACACCAACAACTACCACCACTACTACACCAACAACTACCACCACTACTGTAACAACCAACTACCACCACTACTGTAACAACTACCACCACTACTATATCATCAACTACTACCACTACTACACCAACCAACTACCACCACTACTACAACAACTACAACTACTACCCCAACAACTACAACCACTACTACACCAACAACTACCACCACTACTACATCAACAACTACTACCACTACTTCACCAACAACTACGACAACAACTACATTAACAACTACTACCACTACTACACCAACAAGTACTACCACTACTGCACCAATAAGTACTACCACTACTACATCAACAACTACCACCAGTACTATAACAACTACAACCACAACTACACCAACAACTACAACACTACTACTACATCAACAACTACCACCACTACTACACCAACAACTACTATACCACTACTACACCAACAACTACTACTACCACCAACAACTTACTACACCAACTACTACAACACTACTACACACCTAACAACTACCACTACTACACTGACCACTACTACCACTACTACACCAACAACTACAACTACTACATCAACAAAAACTACTACCACTACACTACTACCACACTACACTAACAACTACTACCAATACTACACCAACAACTACCACACCAACAACTACTACCACTACTACACAAACAACTACTTCCACTACCACATCAACAACTACCACCACTACTGCACCAACAACTACGACCACAACTACATCAACAACTACTACCACTACTACTAACAACAACACTACTACCAACTACTACTACTACTACACAACACTACAACAACAACTACACCAACAACTACACCAACTACATCAACAACTACTACCACTACTACACAACAACTACCACTACTACACCAATACTACTACACCAACAACTACCACCACTACTACATCAACAACTACTACCACTACTACACCAACAACTACTACCACTACTACACCAACAACTACTACCACTACTACACCAACAACTACTACCACTACTACACCAACAACTACTACACTACTACACAACAAAGTACCACTACTACACCAACAGCTACTTCCAGTACTACATCAACAACTACCATCACTACTACACTAACAACTACTATCACTGCTACATCAACAACTACCACCACTATTACACCAACAACAACTACCACTACTACACCAACAGCTACTACACAACACACAACAACTACTACAACTACTACCACACCAACAACTACTACCACTACTACACCAACAACTAACTACTACATCAACAACACTACACTACTACACCAACAACTACACCAACTACTACAACAACTACTACTACTTCACCAACAACTACTACCACTACTACATCAACAACTACTACTACTACTACACTAACAACTACTTCCACTACTACACCAACAACTACTACCACTACTACAACAACAACAACTACTACTACTACATCAAAAACTACTATCACTACTACAATAACAACTACTATCACTACTACACCAACAACTACTACCACTACTACAACAACAACAACTACTACTACTGCCACATCAACAACTACCATCACTACTGCACCAACAAATAATACTTCTACTACACAAACAACTACTTCCATTACCACATCAACAACTACCACCACTAATGCACAAACAACTACTACTACTACTACTACTTCAACAACTACCACAACTACTGCACCAACAACAACAACCACTACTGCACCAACAACTACTATAACAACTGCACCAACAACTACTACCACAACAACAACTACTACCAATACTACACCAACAACTACCACACCAACAACTAATACCACTACTACACCAACAACAACAACCACTAATACACCAACAACAACCACCACTAATACATTGATAACTACTACCACTACTACACCAACAACTACGACCACAACTACATCAACAACTACTACCACTACTACACCAACAGCTACTTCCAGTACTACATCAACAACTACCACCACTATTACACCAACAAAACTACCACAACTACACCAACAGCTACTAACACTACTACACCAACAGCTACTAACACTACTACATCAACAACTACCACCAGTACTATAACAACTACAACCACAACTACACCAACAACTACTACCACTACTACACCAACAAGTACTACCACTACTACACCAACAACAACTACTACTACTACACCAACAACGACTACAACTAATACTCAAACAACTACTACCACTACTACACAAACAACTAATACCATAACTATACCAACAGCGACCTACACTACTACACCAATAACTATCACCACTACTACATCAATAACTACTACCACTACTACACCAACAACTACGACCACAACTACATCAACAACTACTACCACTACTACACCAACTACTTCCAGTACTACATCAACAACTACCACCACTACTACTACATCAACAACTGCTACCACTACTACACCAACAACTACTACTACTACCATATCAACAACTACCATCACTACTACACCAACAACTACTACAACAACAACTACTATTACTACGACAACAAAAACTACTATCACTACTACATTAACAACAACTACTACCACTACTACAATAACAACTACTACCACTACTACACCAACAACTACCACCACTACTACTACATCAACAACTACTACTACTGCCACATCAACAACTACCATCACTACTGCACCAACAAATAATACCTCTACTACACAAACAACTACTTCCATTACCACATCAACAACTACCACCACTAATGCACAAACAACTACCACCACTTCTACATCAACAACTACTAGCACTACTACACCAATAAGTACTACCATTACTACGTCAACAACTACTACCACTACTACACCAACATCTACCACCATTACTACATCAACAACTACTACCACTACTACAACAAAAAATACTACCACTACTACATCAACAACTACTTCCACTACTACATCAACAACTATTACCACTACTACACCAAAAACTACTAGTATTCCACATCAACAACTACCACTACTACATCAACAACTACTACTACTACCACACCAACAACTACTACCACTACCACATCAAAAACTACTACCACTACAACACCAACAACTACGACCACTACTACACCAACAAATACTACCACAACTACATCAACAACTACTACCAGTACTACATCAACAACTACTACCACTACTACACAAACAACTACTACTACTACCACTTCAACAACTACCATCACCACTACACTAACAACTACTAACACAACTACACCAACAACTACCACCACTACTACATCAACAACTATTACCACTACTTCACCAACAACTACCTCCACTACTACATCAACAACTACCATCACTACTACACCAACAACTACTACCAATATCATACCAACAACTACCACCACTACTACATCAACAACTACTACCACTACTATACCAACAACTACTACCACTACCACACCAAAAACTACCACCACTACTACATCAACAACTACTACCACTACTACATCAACAACTACCACCACTACTACTACATCAACAACTACTACCACTACTACACAAACAACAACTACTACTACCACTTCAACAACTACTACCACTACCACACCAACAACTACTACCACTACTACATCAACAACTGCCACCAATACTTCACCAACAACTACTACAAGTTCTCCACCAGCAACTACCACCAATACCACACAAACAACTACCACCACTACTACATCAACAACTACTACCACTACTACATCAACAACTACTACCACTACTACATCAACAACTACTACCACTACTACACCAACAACTAATAACACTACTACATCAACAACTACCACCACTACTACACCAACAACTACTACCAATATCACACCAACACCTACCACCACTACTACTCCCACAACTACTACCACTAACACACCAACAATTACCACCACTGCTCCACCAACAACTACCACCACTACCACTCCAATAGCTACTACCACTACTACATCAATAACCACTACCTCTATTACACCAATAAGTACTACCACTACTACATCAACAACTACTACTAGTACACCAACAACTACTACCACTACTACATCAACAACTACCACCACTACTACATCAACAACAACTACTACTACCACACCAACAACTACTACCACTACCACATCAAAAACTACCACCACTACATCAACAACTACTACCACTACCACACCAACAACTACTACCACTACCACACCAACAACTACTACCACTACTAACCAACAACTACTACCCCTACTCCACCAACAACTACCACCAATACCACACCAACAACTACTAAAACTTCTCCACCAACAACTACCACCACTACTACCACATCAACAACTACTACCACTACTACACAAACAACAACTACTACTACCACTTCAACAACTACTACCACTACCACACCAACAACTACTACCACTACCACACCAACAACTACTACCACTACTAACCAACGACTACTACCACTACCACACCAACAACTACTACCACTACCACACCAACATCTGCTACCACTACTACACAAACAACTACTACCACTACTACATTAACTACTACTACAGAAATAGTTCTATTGTTTTTAATTCAGCGGCAACCACAACAACTACGACAACAACGACAACAACAACGACTACGACAACAACGACTACGACAACACCAACACCAACTACGACTCCAACTACGACTCCAACTACAATACAACCAACAAGTGAGTTCTCACGTTCTTATGATACCCAGCGTGCTACGGACCCAGCACAGCACCATGGTGACGATCATGAGATGGTTGTGTATTGGTATACGCGTAGTGCATGCATTATGATGTTACTTTACATGTGTGTATGATGATGATGAATGACGATGATCGATATGTGGGAATGATGATGATATTCAAGTGAATATTTTAGTGGTCTTGTTTATGATTTTTAATGTAAGGATAGTTGATGTTGTTTTTATATTATATATGTGTTATATATAATAAAAACCTGAAAAATTACAAAATAACAAAAAAAAATCATTAAAAAACTATTTATCAAATTGTAATTATATATTGTTTCAATTTTAACATTTCCATATTCGCTGCAAAAATGTCAAATAAATCATAATGTCTGTTGAGAACAGTTATCACAGAGATACAACATGCAATTACGACTGAATTAATTGTTAATTCATATAAAGATAAAACAGCTCTATATGAATATTATGAATAGATCAACAGAATACAACACAGTATTCAACAAAAACAACCAAAATATATCAAATAATATACAAGACGAACGCCAAACGAGGTAAACGAATAGTTATTGTTACTCATTAAGTTAAGTGTAAACACCATTTAACAGGCAAAATATATTAATATATTAAGGATCACTCAGGATACCACCTAATTTTAAAGTAAAGTAGTGATGAAAACCCTTATATTACCAAATTTTTAAAAATCCTAAATACCACTATTTCTACACAATGATATTGTTAATTCAGATGATTTCAGAAAATCTCAATAAGCTATTGCCGATTCTAATGCGCTCCTTTCTAGCATTGAAAATAAATGTAACCAAAGACAAAGACGCCATACCAAATCTATCGGCCCTGATCTCTTTTATCTGGAGTCTTTTCAGCTGAATTGGAAACAGCAAATGTAACCTCTGTGTATAAGAAAGAGAAAGAAGTATACCTTAACTAACTACAGGCCAACCTCTTTATCATCTACTATTGTAAAAAAAAATGTCCTCAAAAATGTCTAAACTTTTTAGATTCACCAGTCACTCACCTTCCTGTTGGTTCCGTTGTTGTAAACCTTGCTCTCTTTTGAAAACATGACATTGCTGAATTGGATTAACCAAGGTTTACGGTGGTGGATGTCGTCTATAAAGCATCAGACGCTTACTCTTCCGGAACATATGCTCTTATTTTAATTGTACATTTTCAGGAGACCCCGTGTAAATCTTTCTTTCGTATTTTGCCCTAATTTTATGGAATTTGAGTTTTGATTTTAATTATGTTGCCATGTTGGTATTTTCTTGATGTTTCTTGCTATTTCTCATGATTATTACTCTGCCATATACCTCAAAGAAACACGATTTTTTGTGATATTAGTAAAGCATAAGGGCTGTTGATAAAACTTTCTTCATTCGGAATTTGAACTCTCTTCCGAAATAGTTCGAAAATTATCTTTCAAATCTCAGACAAAGTGTTGTTTATGATAAATTTTCTAAGCGACAGAACAATATGGTAGGGGTTCCCCAGGGTCCGATATTGGGTCCTCATTTATGAATTGAATGGTTGGCTGAGGATACCTCTTTGTACGTTTACATTGACACAAATATCTTTTGATAAATGCAGACATTTGAAATAATGATCCAAGTATAAATCAGGATGCGATCGGTTGATTTTAATCCCCCGAAAACTGAAACTTTGCTAATATCTAAAAAAAAATCGAGCACACCAATCATTCCTCCCTTGACTATGATCAACATATTGGTCTGTTTTTATCTAAGTATGGTGGCGGGTCTGACCATAGTCACTATATCAAAACTAAGATCTCACCAAAGTGAAATATTTTACGTAAAGTTTAATTCACTGTTGATCGTTCTTCCCTTCAAAACCTTTATTTAAAGTAGGCCTATTCTTTATTAGTGTTGGGAAACATTGTTTTGGATAATCTTACAAAAACTTATTCTGACATGTAGGAAGTTATTCAGCTAGAGGCAGCACGGATAGTTGATGGCAGAACTAGATTAACTAGTAGAGTAAGACTTTATCTCGAAACAGACGTGTTGAAAACTTCATACTATGTTCTAAAAGATTCGAATGATCTGGTGTACATATCAAATAACACATGTTAATCCCGTTTAGATTTTCACTCGTGCTTCGCATTCGTGAAAAACATTCTGTCGTACTCATGAAATATACATAATATCAAATAAGGAACCACTACACATCGTCTTTGTGGTTTCATTGAATACACTATCAGTAGCTATATGTTGATATGATATGTAAACATATCACCCTATATTGCCTGTGTTTTATATTTTGACAGATGATGATGGAGGCGTTGATAACGATGTGGTGATTGCGTCGCTGTTGCTCTTCCTCAACGCTTTGACTGCTTTGTTCGTGTTATAAACATTGTATGCGAATTCCTGATTTTGATTCTTGGTGTTGTGTTTAAAAACAAATGGTGGATTGTAGATCCGGCCGACCAAGGGAAAACAAATTGTTGATCGCATACATACATATATATATATAGGAACAAATATAGTGATGTCAACCTATTTTTTGTTTTGTTTTGTTTTTATTTCATTTTGTGTGTGTGTGTGTGTGTGTGTGTGTGTGTGTGTGTGTGTGTGTGATTCTTGTAATACTCGAGGTTGCTAATCAGAAATAATATTATATAGAAGCTTGTCGTGAATATTTCCGTAAACTTGTTAATTACTCGCTCTCAAGCTGTGTTAGTTTAATGATAACGTGCTGTTGGGGTAAATTGTTTACAAGTAGAATATTTTCAATCAGTATTATGTAGTTACCAAAGTAAATCAGGAAAAATCTATAATTTTGAAAACTCTAGAAAAATAAATATAATATTGTAATGTAACAATACATAAACGTCAATGTATATTTAAAGAATACTTTGTCCTCATAATAAATTTAATGTCTACAACTGTTCTCGACGACGACGCCGACTGCGTCTATTTCACTTTTATTTTGATATAACACAGGGGATACTTCCCTTACCATTTTGGAGATAGCTGCATTGGTTTCTGGAATTGGGAAATTCAAGCCACCTCCATCTGTTTATTTGCCGCATTCGTTCATATTATGCTATTATGTCTCATGAGTCTTTTAAAGAAAATAAGGAAAACATACTGATTGAAATGAATACTTCACATCTATATTTATAACTGACGATCTACCACCTGACTATACTCTACCTACACATCAGTTCTCATCAAACGATATAACTGCACATGACGTTATTGATCAACTGAATCTTCTAAATACTAACAAACCTTCTAGTCCTGACGCCATTCATTCTAAATTCATTAAAGGAGTTGCTCAATATCTGGTGACGCCACTATTTCACATCTTTAATAACTCTATCTGTACAGGAATTCATGGAAAACATGATCATGTAACACCGGTATTCAAAAGGAATGGGGGGGAGTTATCTATCCAATTATAGACCGATCTCTGTAACTCCTTTTTTAAACAAGATTTTCTAAATAATTGTTTTTAAATATTTGTTTACCGATCTATCGAGATATGATAAAATTTTTAAGAATAAATTAGGCGTCTGACCTAAGGATTCTACTGTCAATCCGTCATCAATCATTTATAACGAATTTTTTAAACATTTGAACAAAGATAAAAAACGCAAGAATGATATTCTGTGATATAAGCGAAGTTTTTGTTGGAGTTTGGCATGATGGTCTAATTTATAAACTAAAATAATATGACATAAGTAACATCATATTGAAGTGGTTTTCACCTTACTTACATGATAGGAGACACAGAGTGGCCATAGATGGATTCGAATCTAACTGGAAAACTTTACAGTCATAGATACCCAAAGGGTCAGTTTTAGGACCATACGTGTTTTTATTACATATAAATGATAATGGCGATGAATTAGTCTCTAATATGAAATTACTTGCTGACGGTACGTTCCTATATGCCCTGATTGAGGGAAACAGACAAGAAGCCGCTAATATTATAAATAATGATCCGAATCAAATTATGTTAGGACCAAGAAATGAAGAATAATTTTTTATCCTAAAGAGCTGAATCCTTTTGAATTTAAGTGAGTTCACTGGACAGAATGTTTCGTTCTCGTTGCGCGTCCTAACGAAAGCTTTATTGAAGAGAGCACGACACCAGGAGTTGGGATATGCTTTAATTCAAGCAGCGCTAAATGCTGGTCAATATTGCCATTTCATGCTTTCTTGAACAGACACTTTATTATCTGTTCTCTTCGCTCCATCAGCTCCATATGCTCAAAACTCCTATGAGAATTATTTGAATTCTTAACTCACAACCTCGGGTCCATTTCACTCGGAATCTCGTACACTTTTTAAACTGCTGTTCCGCAATGTACATGTACAACTTTTTACGGGGTCCCCAATAATCAATATTACGACTGTAAAACTTCCCCATAATTTTCATCAACTAACAGGCCTCTGACTATCAGATCAACTGCGACATGTAAACACCATAGATTGGGGATGCAGATCTGTTGCTATCTAGAAAGGAAACATTCACAATAGGGAAAATTAAATCATTACAGCTTGGTGGAAAGCTGGATTCATTTTAGGAAAAGATCGAGATAAGCGTCTGATGTCGAAGAGCATTTCGTGCCCTTGTTTTCCGATTGCAAGGTCTTTGTGACCTATTTTTGACAAGCTATCCAACAGAGGGGCACCTTAAGTCGAGAAATGCCGATGACCTTACCACCAAACTCGACGAAGATGTCAACTATGATTTCGTCCTCCATTTATTCACGAAATACTCTTCACAATCATATATTTGTACCACCGTTCATTTTTCTTGCAAAGGAAACATTTCTATAGAACGGTGACGTAACATGATGGAAAAATCAAATCTTCTTATAGAAGAAATATTTTCTTTAGCAGAAGGTGTCAAAGATTGGTCAAAAACTTTTTGGAGTTCTTAAAAAAAACATATACTTTTAACAATTGTAATTTACCAAAGTTA